CACATTTTCAAGACTGAGTTGGATAGATATTTGTTAGGGCAGGGGATCAAGGGATATGGGGCAAGGGCGGGTAATTGGAGTTGAGGTACAGATCAGCCATGATCTTATAGAATGGTGGAACAACAGGTTCAAGGGGCTGAATGGCATACTCTTGTTTCTATATTTTTTCCCTCGTTTGTTTTAAAACTGGATGCTTTAATAAAACTAAATCAATCAATAAATCTATTTCTACAGTACATATTTCCAATTGCAGTTATTATTCTTCAGTTTCCCATTTTGCTACACTTTCCTGATCTGCATATAAAAAATCCTAACCGATGTTTTATATCCATTATATCCTGTTCTACTCATTGTAATTTTACCTAAGCATTTAGATGTTTCTTTTCTAACTTCCATGTTGGTATCTTATTAATGCTGTCACCCACGATTCCATGTCCCTTCTAAAACTAAATGCATGGAGAATTTATTTTGCAACTTTTGCCAAGACCGACAAAGAATAGATAAATCTGTGCGATCATTTTCCCGCACTTGATAGTTTTTCATGTTATATATTTTAGAACATGCAAACACTGAAATAGATTTGAGTTTTAAACAAAATGTGTCAAAAGACACGTTTAGATTCATCACTTAATCTTTTACCTCAACGTATATGTCTTCTTGTCCTTGTATATTTTCTAAATTACTTGCAAATTTAACATTGTCAGCTTCATTAACTATTTATTCAGTTAATTTATGCATTTCAGCAATTGTTAATCAAACAACTATGTAAAGCATCAGACTTACATGGACTGATTTTAAATGTTATGAATAACTAGCTCATTAATTATCTTTGGAATATTTTAATTTAAATATTAACATTTTTAATTTTACCCAATTTGTTCAAATCTAGAAAATGGGCTGTTGATGTATCCTGCTTGAGCATTAAGTCTATTTTGTGGAGTTGAATTGCTTCCTGGAATTGGCAGGTTAATAAACCCTGACTGCTCTTGTCCACCTCTTACAACTGGAGCGGTATTTCACAGAGGTGTTTGCTGGGGTCACTTTGGTTGGGGAACAATCCAACCAGGGAATATAAAGCAGAACTTGCCTTTTTTAATCGAGCATCTTATAACATCTCAAAGTGTTTACAGTAATTAGTTTAGTGTGGTGACTACTTTTGTGTGTGGTGGCTATTTTAAGCACTCTGAGACACTACTTTACACGAGGGACGCTAAATAAAGGCAAATTATTGTTGTTGTTTTGTAGGCAACACTGCACGCATTTGTGCCAGTATGGTCACACAAGCTGTATAAGTAGGTAATCTAAATAACGTGAAAGATGGTGGTCAGGACACTGGGAGAAATTCCCTTCTTTTCAAAAAGTGCCATATCCACCTTGAAGCAGGCAGATGGGACCTTAGTTTAACACATATATATTTATATATCTTGTGTGCCTCTGGCGGTCAATTATAAACTACCTTCTGAAAGTTTAGGAAACCGGGTTCTTCTCTATTCTGTGGAAGGAATATACTTGATGGACCAAATCTCTGTCTTATTGTACGATTTGTGCACATGCCTGTGATTGCACCTGTCAGTAGTGTATCTTCTTACGGTGCAAAATTATCAGGAAAATCTATTCAAAATATGGAATATCCTGTCAAAAATAGGACTGGTGGCAATTCTATAGCTAGATTTCCCCTTCCTTTCCTTTAGTTTCTTCTTTTGCTTTACTCTCCCATTTTCCAAGTAGTCATCATTTTAAAGCAAAGCCATTAACATTTTAATGTAATGGGATCAGCATCACGACAAATGTGTGTGCTTACATAATAATCCTTGCATTTTGATATTGTGCCTTATCTCTTTATCGAGCCACCTCAAAGAACTCCAAAGCATTTTTATTGATTAGTGACTGCGTATTTGAAGGTGAACATGGCATCCAATTTGCACAAGGTAAATTGGATGCCACGCTCATCTCCAGTATTGCATTGGAGAGTTAGCCTGGATTAAATTCAAAGTGCTTTTGTGGGGCTTGAACCACAACCTTCTGACTTAGAGGTGAGCGTGCTACCAACTGAACCAGGCTGACACCTATATATAATGTGCATAAAGGCTAAATAAAACTCAGAAATAACAAAACTTGACAAGTTCTGTAATTGTGGCTTTGAATGAAATAAACTCACATTTACATTATCTTTCACTTAAAGATCAGGACCACACCTCCTCACAATCTTTTTTTTAAATTAATGCAAGTTTAATTTTATGAACTTTTTTTATTCAAAGTTGTCTTCAAAACACCCATTTTCTTTCTGAACTCTGGGGATACATTAATTTCAATCAAAATTAGGGTGCTTAAAGTGTAGTTATTCAAATATGGCCAGCAAGCTGTACAGGATGAAAGACAGAGAAGCAAGTTCAGAACTCTCAGCAAGACTAAAACCATTTTGAAGTGTCATGAATGGAGCCTAGTGATTACTGAGCACTGACACACAAATTGACGCATATTGTGCCAGCCTGGTGCAATATTGTAGCACTCTCGCCTCGGTTGTAGGTGCAAGCCCCATGCCGGGACTTGGAATCACAGTCTAAGAGGACATGCTAATGCAGTATTGGTGGTGTATTGCATTGCTGGAGTTTTCGTCCTACAGGTGAGATGTTAAACCAAAATCCTATTTGCCTGTTCAGGTGGACATTAATGATCCCATTGCACTATTCGAAAAGTGAAGGGAGTTTCTCCCAGTGTTCTGGCCAACAGTCCCCCAAATAAAATTGGTCATTCACTCCGTGGCTATTTATGAGACATTGCTGTGCAAATTGGCTGCCGCATTTTGCCCACAAAATACGGAGTCAATCTACTTTACAGTATATTCTGTGAAGTGCTTTTAGAGGTCTTGATGACATGAAAAGGTGCTATATTAATTATACACGTTATAAAAACATTAAACAAAGGTGGAACAGTCCTCAAGCATTTACATATATTCTGTGAAGTTGAATAGGGAAAAATCTAATTTACCAAATGTGATAATCGTACAATTTCCTAACCTATTGCAATTTTTTATTAGGAAATAAGTTTGTAACATACAGAAAAGTAACACTTGATGAGAAAGAGAAATATACCTCTTATTGCTGTATTGGTACAACTGAAACTATCCATATAAACCAACTGTGCATCTTAACCCAATAGTTTATTTTTTAAAAAGTACAGAAGATTTCTCACTAGATTTAGCATGTACAGAAACTTACAAAAAATGTTTCTGCACTAATAAAATCAAGTATCAAACCATCACCTTTTGCTCGTATTTGCCATTAACGATTGGGAGATTAATAATCTTCCACCATCAAAAGACGACGAGTGGGTGAAATACTGAAAAATTGCTTTGTATTATTTTCTTCCAGAATATTGCAGTGTGGTCACAAACATGCAATGAACCTCCAGACTGACTTCCAATTTCCTACATCTGTTAATAAAATACAGGTAATCTCTTCAAAGGCTGTTTGCTACCAAGTGTATTTTTTCTGGGTAAACAAAATTGTAACTATTGATGCTAAAACTAGATATTAGAGCAATGTAAAAGACATGAAATACAGTATGTGGAATTACAAAATAGGTGTAAATCAAGCATTTACAATTGAAAGAATGGCTATGCTCGTTTAATTTGTGATGGAAACCATATCATTTACCCAAATTTTTAAAAGTTTAATGACGAGAAATCTGGAAAATTTGTAGATGTTTGAATTAAAATATTAAGTAGTTTCTATTAACATAAACTACTCTTAAGCATACATCTTTAAATTGAAAAGCTACAAACGTTTTAGGAAGCTTCAGGAAGCATATGGAAAATAGACCAGTAACAATATTTTATTACATAACTGGAGAAAAAGGTTTTGGCATGTTTTTGGATACATTATCGATGGTGCTACATTTGAAACAATGCATAATTTGTGGAAAAGGTGATGATTATTGAAAAGTTTCTGTTGCATTCTTCAATTTACAGATGGTAACATAGTAACAACTTCAAGCAGAATTAGATAATCAATTCATCATGTCTACCCATCCAATTTCCCACAAGATTCCTTTGACACCTCTATTTGAATCTAACCCTGAGCCTTTGAATTGACAGGAAATCACCTAGTTCTGTTTTGAAATCCTTCCTGTTCTTGTTTCACCAATTGGGCTGATGACCCGTTTGACATGTCTATCACCCTCTTACAATGAATTCTGAATTTTCTGTTCTATGTTGTCCTTATTTTGAAGGAATTACCTCTTTGTTGAATTTTGCACATGGCAGAAAAATGTATCTAAAGGTAAATCTCTCTAGTGGAGTGATTCTCAGAATGGGAAGCCAGATTCATGCTTCCATCTCCCAATCCCTCTTAATATATAATAATCCTTGCAATTGACATAGCACCTTATCACATCATTGAGACATCTCAAAGCGCTTTACAGAATATACTGTAAAGTGAATTGACTTTTTATTTTGTGGCCAAATGCGGCAGCCAATTGCGCACAGCAGTGGCCCACAAACAGTCGTGGATTGAGTGACCAAACTTTTGATAGTGGCTGAGAAGATCTCTGTGTGCATAACTACACGCATGTAGAGATCAACTAATTAACTTTAGTTTTTTTAAAAAAAAACGTTATTCATGAATTGATCTAAATTGACTCTTCAATAGAATTAAAAATAGTTTCTCAAAAGTTCTTGGGCTACCATTGAAACATTCAAGAGCAATGAAGGAACCATTTTTGAAGAGAATCTGAACAAATTTGCACCACGTGTATTTAAACGGCAGCATTGTAAATCGATGGCCCACCAAAACTATTTCCTCAAGAGCTCTCAGCTGCTGAACTCAAGCACAGAACATTATGTCATCACAAATCTCACAACCTATTTATACTGAGTTTTTCCCACTGAAAACAGCACAGTATAAACCAGGCAGAACAATTAATATGAAAGCATTCTACAGTATTACTTCAGATAATTTTTTATTTAGAAATTACCAGAAATAACCCAAGATACTTTAAACTGGATTTTACTTTTCAGTCTTTATTTAGATGTAAAGTAATTCCACAATGAAACAAAATCAGTTACTCTAGTGTACATGAAATCAGAGAACAATACAACCACTTGAAGCAAAAATTAGAAAGAGGCTAACAACTGAGAAATGGGGAACTCAGGTTTCAATGCTATGGCATACAACATTATTTATTCTACGGTGTGCTTTATGGTTGCTTTTCAGCCGGTTTGTAATGGATGGTGCATACTACAAACTTTCCCCCTCGTTGCCTCAATAAATCAATCAAGTTGAAAACCTTACCGTAAGAAACTTGAATCACATTTCTCAAACTATTCCAATTGAATGCTGCTTTAAGTTTTTGAATCACATAAATATGGAAAAAAGTACAGATGACATGTAAACGTTTCATTATTCCTTAGGACCCCCCCTCCCCCCACCCTCCCCATCCACAAGCCTTTTCTCCTTTTCCCAAGATGATGCGATTTTATATTACTTTTACTGCCAGGCTCATGCATCAACGGACATAAGTCCTTCTCGCCTGTATAAGCAGCTCTAAAAATAAATCATAACTTAAGCAAATACGATTTAAAGAAGGCTTTCAATCCTCTGTTCTTATTCACGACATCCTTAACCATTAAAAAATTCGATAACCCTACTTTTAGCAATGGTTATGAATTTCTTAAAGCTGCAGCATTGATTTTTGCTAGCTTATATATACTATGTTTCAAATAAAATAGAAAATAAAAATCTGAAAGCTCTTTTCACTAAATTTTCAAAAAAGTTAAGTCTTCAAAAGGGATCTTGAAAAATAATCTATAATGCTTCAAATATGTGACTGTTTTACTGTATAGAGCATATGAACTATCTTTGAAGAATCTATGTCAAACTTTTCTTCAGTACTTCAATTTGTGCATACAAGTAGCAACTAAAAATGAATACTGCAGCTTCAACAGTTTGGGATGCTGAATTTATCACAATGCTGATTCAGCTAAATCCTTCTGCTTTCTCATTATAATAGCAATTTTCACCATGATAAGTTCAGTGGTTACTGTGTTCCTCATGTAAATTCAAGCTCAATAAACGTTAAGTTGAATTTTCAGTTTCTGTTGTAACCCAGTATTACTGTCATGGGATCCAGGCAAGCTAAGTCAAAGCTAAAACCTCTCTTAACTTTGCATACCTGGTGACCAGAATATTGCTCCCCTTGGCTTTTCATTTTCCAGAATCAAAGCACAAGGAGGTGAAAGATGTTCAACAATTATATTATGATGTCAAAGTGAACTTATGACACCAGTGTTACAAAATTAGGAAATAAAATCTCAAAGCAAGCCACATGAAGCAACAATCACTACTGCAGTCACACATGTAAATGAGATTCTTAAGTTTTTTTTAAAGTCTACACTTGGTTCTTGTAGTCAGCACAAGTAAAATGCCAGAATGGTTCCTCACACCCCTCCGAAAACACAAAATGAACTCTAAGATCTATAAAATCACAGCCACAACATGAACTAACTGTAATTGTCTCAGAATTTCTCACAAGACGAGTGTACGACTGATACGCTGCAGGTGTACACCGTTTGACTGTACAATGGATTAAATGTTTTTTTTACCATCCTGCTGTATAATACTGTTGCCTAAAATCTTTTTTTTGAATCTGTCTCAAAGTAGTCCCTTCTACTTCAACAATACCAAACCTTCATAACTGAAACCTTTCCCACAACTCAATAAAATCCTGGACTTTCACAGTTAGCATTTCAAAAGTTATACTCATTAAAATACTCCATTTTATGAAAAAGCATTTAGAATCATTCAGGAGAAAAAGGTTTTTTTTATACTTATCCTCTAAAGCACAACCTTATCATTCCTACTTTGAGTGAGATAACAGGTTTCAATTAGATGTTTTAAGTCTATTCATCCATGCTGTTCTGCATTCAGAAAGGCACTGATCTAGTATTTGAAATGTTTAGCTTTAAGTATTTATCTCCCAATTCTTTTACAATAAAGTGTTACACTGTGCCATATGTTAAGAGCCTCTGAATAGCAGAAGTAGTAGAAATAGTAATACTAGTAACAATGGTAGTTCTACAGTAGTAATGGAAGCAGAAGTAATTAATCAGCAAAATAAGCAGTGGTGCTAGTAAGATAGGCACATGCACATTCTTTTGACAAACACAACCTACATTAGTTGAAAAAAGCCAAGGTTTCAATAAACTATCATCATTAATCAGTTTTTTTTCTGTCACAGGATTGGCCTCAATGCCTGACAGTGAAACCTATAAGAAGAGAAAGATAAATACCTATCTAAAGCAGTTAAATGAAAAGAAAACTAAAGTTGTATATCAGAGCAATAAGCTCTCAACTCAACAAGAGTTGTGAACTTATTAAAAGATTAGTTGTTTTTCTCGCTGATGAAACAGCTAAGCAGAATTAAAGATGTGTGCGAGAGAAAAGCTCTTCATCTGGAGGGTCATCCCAGTCACTTCCGCCTTCTGAAGCAGATTCATCGGAGCTTGAACAATCACTGGAGAAAAGTTTCCTGCGGATGACAGCTGACCTCCCTCTAGTATCACCTTCTGCTCTGCAGTTCACCTCTGTCGTCTGCTAAGACAGAAAATACAACTTCTCTTTAAAAAAAGTAATATAAAATTGCACTATTGCACATTTTCCAGATGACATTGGGAATCTGTTAAAGGGCAGGAAATATGGATATTTAAACACCAATGCATTGGCTTGTCATAATAATAATCCTTGCATTTGATATAGCACCTTACCACGTCTTCGAGACGTCTCAAAGCACTTCATAGAAATATACTGTAAAGTGAAGTGACTATACATTTTGTGGGTGTAATGTACTACTAATTAAACCACAATATATTTGATTATGTAAAAAAAACCTTCAGATAAATGTAGCAGAAGTCTGTGCATGGCAGTTTGTAAACAGATCAGACAATACAATGTTTCTGTCATTCACACTTCCTGACATCTGCTTTGGCTGGCATAAATATGCCCAAGTTTTAATCGGGTTCTGCATCATGTTGCAAAACCCCACCAGTTTCTTCCCATCTTCAATATTCTCTTCCAATTTAAAAGATAGAGCAAACCTCCACTACCATTGAACTCAGCAATTTGGGAGCTGTCCACAATAAAGGAAAGCAGAGAACCTGACATCGAAAGAATGCCACAAGCGTGAACAAAAGCAGACAAACATAGACAGCCTCAGGTACATCATTCAACACCCCTATAGCAGCACACAGGAACCCACAACCCACCATACAGGACACCAAATTGCTGCCAACCAGGGACATGAGAGAACAGTATGGTAATCGTATAAAGGAGGACATGCAAGTATAGCCAAACACACTCTCTAGCTCAAAACATTTGGTAAGGAATTCACATAGTGAATGATTTCTAGAACCAAGCACCACAATGACAATAATAGTCCCAGGAAAATAGTATTCAAAATATTCCATACTATTTGTAGCTCAAACTAGGAGGTTCACCTGTATCAACCTAGGAGACTTTGAAAATGCTGAGGATTTTCTCTTAAACCAAAAAGGCTCTGAACTAACTACCTTCAGCTCAACCACATGAGCAGCAACAGCACCAGATCCAACCAACATGGAGAGTTTGAAAGGAAAAAGATACTCCAACAGACATATCATTAAGTCTCAAGACAACATGACTAGAATTCCAAGCAATTACCATAAAAGAGCACCAATCTCATTCATGAGACCCAAAAGAGCACCCATTCCATTTAATCATACATACTACATCCCTTGAGAACAATGCATAAAATAGTTGGGATTAATGCAACTGAAGAGAAATTACAATAAAAGGAGTGATACAATTGCCATTTTCCAATTGAAGTCAACTAAAACTAGTGAAATACATCTGAAGCATGGTCATGTAAGAAAATGTAATCAATTTTACAGAATAATACCTCACTACAGACCTATAATATAATGCTTGTGGGACACTCGAGTGCATGAAATTATAACACAAGTTACCTGGCTGACTTTAGACTCGATGAACAGCTAGTTTAAGAAAGGATGACAAATAGGAAATACAAACTAAATGTTGTCTTGGGTGATAAGGGACATAAACATTAATACCAATGCAAACAAAATAAACTCTAAATACATGTTTAGCTGTTTTTGTGGCCAGTCACAGTCTTCAAATACAGCACTGCAACTGTGAACCGTTGTATACAGTAACTGTGAATAATTGTACACAGTATATGCAGTTTATCTGCCCAAGGACTCACCAAAACAAAACATACACTTTCAATAATTATCATTCACTGTACATCAAGTTCTCAAAACAGGAAAAAATTAAAGCGTACACTGTAACTGCTATTTATGATAAGGATTTCTGTTTTGGTAAGACAACAAAATTGTTATCTCTTGAAATGAATGCTTAAAATGAGAACTTTTTTTTGGTCAGCCTAACACACACAGAAACTCATCACACCATTCAAAGTGTATTTAAACCAGATGGAGAGATCTGCACGTTTATGGGAATTTCCCTTTGTCTGAAATGGAGTGTGCACTCTCTCCCAGAGGGACTCACCCTGTTTAAGTAATTCAGGAAAATATTAGGAGCAATTTGGCAAGAGAGAAGGTTTGGGGATCCCAAAGTGTGCGTTGAAGTACTTCTGCAGTTCAGCCAACTAAAACCACGTGGTTTGCCATTGTAGACAGCTTCCAACTCTCCTTGTCCAGCTAGGACCACCTTACCCGTGAGGGTTTTATCTTCCAAGATTAACAGGAGCTGAGTGGGAAAACTTTTAACTTACCAGATCCAACTGCAGAAGACACTCTCCATTGTGTGAACGTCCTCTTAAAATTGGACACTCAATCCCATCCTTTTCTCTGGTGTCAGTGTAGCATTCTTGTTTGCAAAAATTAAGAAAAAGTTAAAATTTTACCTTTCATGTACAAAATCCATTTGCTTTATATGCAATATAGTTATATGATTTAACTCTATATTTACTTATGGATTTAATTTACTTTGGTGAGATAAGGACTCAAATAAATAAACTGAATTACCGAACGGATCGACTTCAAGAGGCTCTCACTCTTGAAATCCCTTCATGCCCTCACACCTCCCTACCTATCCAGTTTGTTCACCCCCCATTTCACCACCACTCGTACGGCTCCAGCCTCCTGTTTGCCCTTCGCCCCCTCCACTCCACCATCGGTGGCCGTGTTTACAGCCACTACACTCCGAAGCTCTGGAACTCCCTCCCTCAATACCTCCGCTTTGCTCCCTCCCCACTTTCAAATCCCCCACAGGTATAATATTATAGATCTGTAGTGAGGTATTCTATAAAATTGATTACATTTCCTTTTTTTTAAAATTGTGCTTATGGTCACCCCCTCTTCCCTCTCCCCCTGGCTCGGGGTCAGACTCCACCACTGTCAAAGTGCTCAGGGACGCTACCCCATGTGAAGGGTACCATATAAATGCAAGTTGTTGTTGTTGAATTGTGTAATTACTTTGGAAGCCAAGGCATATTTTATTCAAACCATAGGGTGACCATCACAACATGGCGGTTTTGGTCCATAAAATTATATCCCATGTTATGACCACCCAAGGAAAAATGGCCACTAGTCCCACTTCTGGATCGTCTCCAATGTTACTTCCTGCACGTTGCGTGAATTGCACAGAAAGCAACCCTGACTTCACTTCCTATCCAAAGGGATTTCGGATGCTTCCTGTGGATTATGCAGTGACCATAGCGGCAATCTGATGACCTGGAATGTTACTATTTTTTAAGCGCAGGCAGTCGGGTGTATTGTGTTGCTGGTATAGTGAAGGTGCATAGTATATCCAGGCTACAATAAAAGTTGTACTAACCTGGAGTGCATTATAACAAGGTCATCCTATAACTAAGTAATTAACTTCAATAATGGCAGTGGCGATTTTGTTCATGCCAGTGTGCATTTTGGTCCTGAAATAGCCATCACTCAGAAAAATTATTCTAATGTATTATGCAATATTTAATTAGTATTACATAGGATGTGTACAGTAATTTTCTACAGGTGGCTAAACTTTCCCACTTGAATGAAATATCACCTATTAGTTCAAATAACTACTTTAGTAATTGGCTGGGCCAATAGAAAAGTGGGGCTGCAATTTTTCTGTGCGCCACAAACACCCCCCTCTGCTTAAAAAAAACACTAAAATCACAGTGAACTCGCGGTTCTGGGCCTCTGCGTGCTGCTGTTTACGCGACGGCACTAGTGTGGGCAGAGCAGCTCCAGACACACATGCGAGCAGGAAAATGGGCTTCTCTCACCAGGAGGCCCTGCTGTTGAAATTGTTTGTGCGAGTGTGTCTCTCTCTGTGTGTCAGTGAGTGTGTGGGTCTCTCTCTCTCTATCTGTGAGTGTGTGTCTCTGTGGATGTGGATATGTACCTCTCTCTGGGAGTGTGTGTCTCTCTGTGTCTGTGCACTGCGGTGATCCAAGAGGCAGGAGGTGATGACTTCCTGGAGCCCCTCAGTCAGGATTAAAATTTGCCAAATTTCCCCGCAATTATTGGCAAATATGTCCGCACTGGCCCAAGTAATTAGATGAATTAGTTGAATTTCTACTAGAAACTCCTGCATGAGTGAAAATTATCATCCTCAGACATCAATCATCTCTTCCTGTCCCTACCACCAATTATTTTAGATTTACTTGCACCACACACTATTATTTTGCTCAGTTTATAAGGCCCTGGAATTCTTCATATACAAAATGTGGAAGAAATCACATATTCCTTCCTTTCCATTTGGGGGAATTGCCTCGCTTCATCAGATCACGTATTCCCATGTGGGGAAATGAAAGTTACAGACTTCCCTACTATTCCATGGCCAGCACAAAGGGCACCTGGCTGATGTTGCCTCGGTACTGTTTTGCCCTGACAGAGCTGCTGAAACTAATCCTTTCCATATGCAGTTGGATTTCAGAGGTTATGAAAAATCTGGGATAAAGTGACAATCGAATTGATGAAGCAATTGACTTACCCAGGCTTAACACTTCAGCAAGGACCCACTTTACAGTCTGTCAGGGTAGGACCTGACTGATAATCTGAGACATTATGCAACGGCATGTTATACTTTAAACGGACAAACATCCCTTGAAGGCAATCAAACATTGATTGCACTTCAAGCCTGGAGATTTTTTTTAGATGATTCTCTGTACTTCTTTATGTCAAGAAGGTAAATTATAGATATTAAAAGAAAATATAGTAAAATGATCAACTTCTGCGAGTTTGCAATACCCACTATTGATAGAAAACAAACTGAAAATTTCTTCTAGCGCAGGCACATTTATACTGTGTGGAATGAAAATGATGGGGAGAGGATGACAATCTGCACCCCCACCCCCCATAACAATAACATCAAAAGATCTTGGAGATAAATGTTGCGGTGGATTTACTTCTGTGAGAGTAACATTTGCTCTCAGATCTTATAAATGTCCCTCAAGTTGGCCACTTAAAAACTAAGGTGCTACATAAAACTCTAAAGATGCCAGTCTGGCTCAGTTGGTACCACTCTTGCCTTTAAGTCAAAAGTGGTTGTTGGTTCAAGCTCCACGTTGAGAATTTGAGCTCACAGTCCAGGCCTACACTCTGACACACTTTGAAACATCCTCCCGAAGTGAAAATCAAATAATAATAATAATCCTTGCATTTGATATAGCACCTCATCATCTGGTTTAAATGTCCCTTCTAATTTTCTTTTTGATCTTCTTTAGGGCATTTTTCTTTAATTTGCCCCTGCTGACCTTGTTCTGCGTTATGTTTTTGAAGCTGACTATTAATCTTGACTGATTAATCCCTGAATAGTGTCCTCTAGTTCATGTCACTAAGTATAGCTCTAATGTGCTCCAACGTTAATAAAGTTGTGTACTGGTATTTGGTTATATACTATTCTCCAGTAACTGCAAATACCATACAAAAAATTTAATATTTACCTGCACACTCAATCCCAGGAAATGGCTGTGGATATAGCGTTTCCTGCCACCAACCATCTTCTTCCTTGAAGTTATTCTTCCCTTCCTCCTGGTTCAAATCTGATAGTGAAACCTGTCATGACAAATAAATCACTGGTACAGTCCACAAACAGTTATTTTCTCCTGTGTAGGAATCTCGCTGGGTCATTTGTTGCTACGATCTGGTTATTGTTTTTCTTGTGTTGTCCAATTTCTCCCCCTTTTGTCAAAAATATTAGTGAGCCTTGGACTGTAAAGGGCTCAAGATTTGATTATGTAATACTGTTAACCAGTATCACTGTGGAAGAAGTGGCAGTAGTCCTTGCTGAGGGCTCAGCAGGTTCAGTTATAATTTGGTTCCAGTTAAACTCTGCCTATTAATATCTTTTCAAAGTTATTGCAGGCACTGAGTTATATGCCATTCTGAATGCTAAGAACCGAGTTCTGATTATTCATTAAAGTACACTCAATAACAAGACTCAATACCTGACGGAATATATAAAAAGGAATGAGGGAGAATATAATGAGACAAAATTAAAAATCTTCACAATAAGAAATGACTCTAGCTTAATTTATCTTATTGTTGATAGCAAAACCTTGCACAATTGCAATAACTTCAAAATCCAGAGAATTCTAAAGAAAACTTCTGTATTTTTATCAAAATAATTGCCTCCATCATTGATAGTTAACCAACACAGGAGCGCCATTTACTGTCATATTTTCGTCCAGCCAAATTAATTTCACAATCCCATGCTTTTCTAGTAATATCAACAATATTCTCATCAATCTGTCAACAAAATTAAGACGTGTTGAAAGCAGTTGGTGTTCAGAATTACTATCAGCATTCTTTAGACATTTGTAATCAAAACTACCTTTGACTTCCTGGGAATCTAAAGCAGTTTTGACTCATCCACTTGCCTGCTACTCACATGGGAAGATACTCTGCAGAACAAGCTTTTTTCCAAGACTGTTGAAGGAATAACTCAGTGAGAGTCAAAGGCAGTGTTCCCTAAGCAAGGCAGGTATTTCTCAGAATGCTCAAGGACGTGCAAAACAACTACTCCCAAGGGATTTGGCTAATCCACTGAAATATTCGTGAATAAAGAAAAGACAAACCATCCTCTGGATGGTGTTATTCAAACCTACATCCCACCTCACCACCATCCACTCATTCCAGTTTTTTGGGGGGATAGCCAGGTGTCTGCCAATATGCAGAAACTATCACCGTGTTCAAGAGCATCCAAACCAGACTGATAGTTCCAATGATGTAAGCCACCTACAGATGGAAATGTCTCTTGTGTCTGGGACGCACCCTGCCAGCTCACAACTGAATTGATGCCTTTAGCTTGCACTTGTGTTTTGGGGGTATCACAGAAGTTACAAAATATGACACATGTTCCTGCACGTGAGATCCATTACATTGTATTATAGCAATGACTATCCTTTGCCTAGTCTTCTCCATAACTCCAGTAAGCAACTTATTGATAAAAGTAGTTGAAAAGGTGCCTAAATGAAAAGGATATACCCATCAGTTAAGGACACCTAGAAAAACTGACAGAGGCCAATGAAAGGACTTAACAAGTTAATCCAGATCATATCATTATAATTGTATCGAATGTGGTCCTGCCTCAGAAACTGAACTCGCTGAGCCCTCAGCAAAGACTACTGCCACTTCCTCCGCAGCGACTGATTAACAATATTATATAACCAAATCTTCAACCCTTTACAGTCTGAGGCCCACTAGTATTTTTGACAAAGAGGCTGCAAATATAAGACCACACACAGTATACTTATGCCTTTGGTCTCTCATACATAATTCGGTCAGATATAATAATAATAATGCTTTTGCATTTGATTATAGCGCCTGATCACATATTCGAGATGTCTCAAAGAGCTTCACAGAATATACTGTAAAGAGAATAGACTATATTTTGTGGGCGAAACGCGGCAGCCAATTGCGCACAGCAAACAGTTGTGGATTGAGTGACCAATTTATTATTTTTTTTGAAGGAATTGAACCCAGGTCTCTTGCTTGCGAGGCGAGTGCTCTAACCACTGAGCTACAGCACTCCACAACCACAGAGCTACATAAGAGGAGTTATCTATGATATTCCATTGCTACCTTATGGTGTTCGCTATATATAGCTGAATGAATTTACATAAATTACATTTTAGATTAAACAGTATAGACTCAGACAATTGATCATATACTCTTTTTTTAAAAAAGTCACCTTGATCAATTTTTTTGGCAGACTACAATCAATTGTAAAAACATATTATCTTATAACAACAATAAAATTACATTTGTAAAGCGCCTTTTCCGTCGGGAGGACGTTCCAAGGCAGAGAGAGTTACGGACCCGAGCTGGGGGATGGGGTCGGGGAGGGCTGGAGGACGGGGGGGGAAGCAGGGAGATCGAAAGCACGGTCAAAGAGGAGGGTCTTGAGATGGGTCTTGAAGGTGGCAAGGGAGGGGGCGAGGCGGATGGACTGCGGGATGCAATTCCAGAGGGTGGGGGCACAGTGGCAGAAGGCCTACCCGCTAATAATGGGGCGAGTGAGGCGGAGCCTGCTGAGCGGAGGGAGCGAGCAGGATGGTAGGGGTTTAGGAGGTCGCAAGTTGTGATACAATGAATAGAATGGATTCATAGGACACACAGAATGTTTATAGCATAGAACATTACTCAGGCAAACAACAACAACTTGCATTTATATTGCGACCCTTACGCAAGGTAGGGGAGCTATATAAATCCTGGCTTTTGCCACTGGAGTCTGGCTCAGTTGGCAGCACCCTTGCCTCTGAGTCAGAAGGTTGTGAGTTCAAGCCTACATCGGGACTTGGAATCTATGGTCTATGCTTACACTCTAGTACAGTGCTGGGGGTGTGCTACATTCCTGGAGGTGCTGTCTTGCAGCTTTGTTACTTAGCGTTAAAGATCTCAAGGCACTATTTGGAAAAAAAGGAAGATTCTCCCTAGGTCCTGGCCAACAATACCCAAATAAAAAAAATGGACATTCACTTCATGGCTGTTTGTGGGATATTACTGTGCCCAAATTGTCTGTTGCATTCACCTACAAAATACCATCACTATCCTTTGTAGTGTACTTTATAGTGAATCCTGTAAAGCGCTTTTAGATGTTCCCCGGCGTGAAAGGCACTGTATCAAATTATTATTGCGCCAATTTAAGATTGAAACTTTAATTTTAAGGGAATTCCTAAAATTGTCCAGCTGGGCCTACAATAAAGTTAACTGCGAAAAATGTAATTGTAATTAATACAGATTGCAAAATTGCAAATCATTTCTATCACACAGAAAATGGTATTTGTAACAATTTAGAGGCAATCTGGAATCACAAATTGTAAACATACATAGACTGCAATTGCAGAACTCACCTCTTGCAGTGATGGTGCCATGACATAAGCTCCCTCGTTGAACCCAGAAAGGTCCCTGCTTATTGTACGATTCTGGAACTCTTCCAGCTTATCACATGGTACCTTTACTTTTAAATCTGTTTCACAACTATTCACATTGGCGCATCCCATTGATGCCTGTAAATGACACTCTGGGCATTGCTGTTCTGTCTGTAAAAGACCACCAGATCCTTCATGAGAATCCAGTGAAGTTTGAGCACTCTTTTCCATCCCAGCCTTTTTTAATCTCGGCAGGAATTTCCCTGATTCCAGCTCCGACTTTCCATAGTAATGTCCTTCTCGTTCAGCATCTTCTTCTAGTGGCTTTAAATCTGCCTGAGGATCCTCAAACAAATCAGTCTGGGAAAGGATAGGAATGCCAACTTCTTCTTTTTCGGACTCAAATTCAGACTCGCTTCCCCCACCTGGTGACAACTCAGAGGCAGAAATAGGTCGGAAATGTGTTCGCGGCGAGATTCGTATAGCTCGATACTGCGTTTTGTCAATACTATATATTTTAGGGTGGAAGGCTTCACTTTCTGAATCTGAACACAGTATAGATTTGGGCTTAAAACTTGGACTAAATGATGCAAGTCTTTCTGGCTCAAATGAGCACTCCACATGAAGTACTTGTGAAAAAGGATTGCTCAGATCAAAGGAGGAAAATGAATACTCAACACTGGGCTCTTGAGTCTGATAATTACTGCAATTCCCCAATAAGTCTTCATGGAAGATAAGCGAGAATTCAGTGTTTAATCTGTCCTCTCCTTTTCTTGTCTGGTCGCACTGTCCGAATGAAGCACAAGATCTCCACAATGGTCTGTGACCAGGAGCAAAGTTGCTACCTGGTGTCATGAAAACATCTGTGCCTGCTATGGTCACAACATCAGAAGCTGCACACTGCAATAAAGTACCTTTTGCAGGGTCCTGTGGAATTACTCCCCAGTCACCACAATTGTCGAACGTTTTCAGTTCCCCATAGACTCCACCAAGAATAAAAGCACTTTCTTTGTCAGTGCCAATATCCCAAGGTTTTGATGGTGCAGTGTAATCACCCACTTCTAGCTCTGCAAGTTCACCAGTTGCAGCAGCTTGAGCTTCCAGGTTTTCTTTCTGGCATTCCCACAAATGATACTCAGACCTTTGCACAGCCTTTTCATGAGACTCTTGAAGCAGGTCCTGTTTTGTTGCCATATCCAAACAGCAGCACTGACAGCCATTCACCTCACTGGAAAATAAATCTTCGACCGATCGTTCTACCTCTAGTGTTACAGCATCGTGTTCTGCTATGGCTGTCCAAATGTCTTTTATAACTCCTGAGCCATAGCCTTCTGTATGACTGGATATCTGATCTGTGAAAGTTTCTGCAGTCAATTCATATTCCTTATTTTCTTCTTCTTCCAACTGAATTCCACATACTGACTCCAATTTAGATTTCTGTTTGAAAGTCAGGCTTGGTATATCACGTAAAGCTCCATTTGTCCGTGAACGAGCATCCTCTTGTAATAAGTCTAAGAGGTCTTCATTTAAAAGGCTGGACGAAATGCCAGGGACTATGCAGTCAATCTCGTCTGCATTAAACTTAGTGGACTCCTCAAACTGAATACCAAAGGTGGTTTCATTATCAGAACGAGTTTCTTCAGAATGTGACCATGGGCTACAGGTTCGTGTTGAAAGGTTAGAACAGTGGTCATTTTCATCAAAGGCACTATTTTTGGTCCATATAAGCAAACGAGACTGCGTTTTCCCTGGAAAATCAACCCAGCTTCCAATATCACTATTCTGATTTCCCAGGTCAAGTCCATCAAAACAGAAAGGTGAAGTAGAGTTATCATATTGCACTTCAAACAGAGAGAAACAAGTGGAGTTTAAACCAGACCCTTCATTGGCTTCTGAAAAGTGTTCTTCTTGATTGCCAGTACTGCTGCTTGCATCACACACTGTATTATCCAGAATAGGAGAAAGCGTAATGGGAGAATCCCCAGCAAAGCTTTCCCCTTCTGCTTCATCAGAACTGGAGCACTCCCAAAACTGAGCTGTATTTGCAAGATCTTGTAGGAACAATTCTTCTGCACAAAGAGAAGCATGTGAATCTGTCCATATTGCACTTTCCCTCGTCATCTGTAGTTCATCTAACACTATACAACCATCTGCCTCAAAATCAGTTTGCTCTGTACTTTTCCGCCGAATCATGCTTAAAATTCGACTCTCTCCTTGCAATGAATTTGAGGCACTAGGATCCAATATGGATTGATGAATATCTACTTCATAGAAGTGAGTAAATTCTGGTAGATGCGTAGCATCTAAAATGTCACTGTTCTTAGGATTAGAACAGCTTGAGGTCCCAGTGAGGTCATTAGCCTCATCTATTAATGCAGGCATTTCAACAAAGTGACCATCGACGAAAGTACCTGCTGCGAGGTATGTTTGGAAATTATTGTTACTAATACAAAGACCCTGCATTGTCTCTGAAATTTCTTCCAAATAGGAAGATTCACCAGCATTTGCAGCCACACTATTGCGGTATGCAGTTTCCAGCTTGCTCTTTCTACTCAGAGGCAACAAGTACTCAATGATTGGTTCAGTGTACCACAACGGTTCTTCTCTAAATTCCTGCTCCCTTTTACTTTCACTGCCCAGATCTCTTGTACCACGGTTTGCTTTCCTCCTTGTTTCTTTCGGATGCCGTTTTCCTCTTTTGCACAGCTGTTTGGTAGGCCCACTGCTGCTGCTCCCACAGGTACTTCTTCGATCATCTTTTTCCACCGATCTGAAAGACAGCTTGACTTGTCCATTTCGCCCCTTATTGTTCCGAGCATTTTCTCGCATCTTGTGTCTTATTTTAACAGCTTTCGTGGGAGCTTTCAACTCATATTGGTTCCCACTTGAGCTGGAGCCTGCTTCACTGGAGCCAGAAGACCAGGAACGAGGACGCATCTTTCCTTCTGACCTGTGCCTGATCTGCTTTTTTCCTGCAGCAGGTTTCTCTTCTGGCAAGCTGTTGTTGTGCCTGTTTTCTTTCTCCTTTTTACTTCTCCTGAATGTGTAACTGCTGCTTGTTGTAACAGAAGCCTCGTTTGTTCGTTCCCTTGTCCCCTCACCTTCACTGTTGCAATCTTTTGGAGAGGATGTGTCAGTGCTTGTTTGTGGAGCAGCAGATGAAGATGAAGAACAAGCTTTGGCCTTGTTCCACACGGTCATTATTTCCTGCAGACAGATTGGCTTCTCAGAAAGGGGTGGAAATGCTTCATAATACCTACAAAAACAAGTGAAAACAAATGCAATGATCCACAAAGGAGGACATATTTATTCATAGGTTTTAAATTACTTACTGAATTGTTTATTACATTTCAAATGATAACAGAATGGATTTCCTCGTTTTTAACATTTCAGCCATCCTATTGATTTTCTCCTGAGAGACAAATAATACAGGCATCTACAAAGGTCTACATAGCAATCAGACATATATTCAGGTCACGAAAGGGCTTAAATTTCTGTCAATTTATTTAGTCTGCCAATAAAAAGTAAACATTTGCTTTTAAATAAGACAGATGAAGGTTTACACCAAAAATATGAATCTTTCAGTCTTGTGGATTTCCAGTTGCGCTTTTCTTGAAAATGCCTGATTCTAACATTACCCGCTGTATAAATAAAATACAATTTACATTTATTGATCACCTTTCAAATTGGGAGGATGTCTCAAAGTGCTTTACACAACTGATTGGACACCCAAGCAATGGAAAGAGTGGCGTGGCGGAACTGAAGAGGGTGGGCGTGGAGGGTAGGAGAAAGATAACCTAAAGCACAATTAAAGATGCAAGTCAAAGAAGTGGGTGTTGATTGTGTAGGGATGGGGCAGGTCGGAAAAACTCCAGGGTGGGGCAAAGCTGTGGAGAATTAAATGTGAGAACAAGAATCTTGGATTTAATCTTCAACCTGCTCACACAAACTCCTCTACCCGATCTCTATGCTCAGCTAGCTCAGGCCTTCTGCACGTTTCTGCCCACTCCGCTCTAGCATCGGCAACAGTGCCTTCAGCCACTAAATCACAACCCTCTAGAACTCCCCGACTCAATCCTCTGTGTTGCCCCTTCTTTATCAGTCTTAAAAGTGATAAACCTGCACCTGAAGAACCAGTACTCAAAGCAAAATATGTTACTTACATTTCTACCTGATCCTTGGTTGAAGAAGATCCTCTAATTTCAGGAGACTGAAACCCTTCTGTTTTTTTACAACCTTGCTTCTCTTCTGAAATTAATGGGGAAAGAACAGAAGGGGAAAGAAAAGGAAACAAAAACAGAGAAATAAATTGAAGCGACCGTTCATTGAAACAATCTCATTTATTAGTTTCCTTGCTTAACAAGGCAAATATTGTTTTGGTGGGCAAAACGAATTGGGACAGGTGGCGTAAATTCTTAAGATTTCCAATACTATTCAATACCAGAACACCTCATTTTGTAAAGAACGAATGATATACCCGTGGCCCCCAGGCTGGCCACCACTGCTTTAGGCGTCAGGCCAACTTGTCTGACAAAAACAGCTGCTTCTTCTAAATTGGGTAGTAAATTAATTTTTCACTAGAATTCAAATACTAATCATCCATTTGATTTTCCTGTCCGGCAGAAAAATGTTGATAGAATAAGACATTTATCATTATTAACTCGCAACAAAAACTTGCATTTGTATTTCAACCTTTCACAGAAAATAACTTCTCAGAGCACTTGGACCAATGCAGTAGTGGACACTTTGTCTTTCCTGATAACAGTGACTTCTGCACAACACAAAGGTCTGATGCCATAATTTCATTAAGGTACTATTTTTGTACCCTTTGTCACAGTGTTGAGGCAGGACAATATAGAGCAGCATCGTTATAATGCATTTCTTTGCAGCATGAAAGTGTCTCCAATCACTGTGCATGCTGCCACAGTGGCTCACTCACTCGCCAGCTGTTTTTTGTGCTAAAATAGATAACCTCACCTGATGACCCCAAAATCGATCACTTTTCTTCAAGAAAACCTGCTAGACAAGCCAGCCGGGTGTATGCAAGCACAATGATTGCTATTATGCTTCAGTTTGGAATTTACACTGCATAATGATAATAAGAGATTTCACTGAAATATTGCTGAGCTTCGTTTAACCATTGATCAACCACTGTTAAGAGTCCATTGGTTATTTGTGGATCACTTTTTTGTTGGCATAAAACACACAAAACACAATTAAAACATATATATTTTTAAATTCATATCTTTACTTCTGTTGTCCCTTTAGAAGCTTTTTATCTACAGTAAGAAACTGATGAAATATTAAACACCAAGTTCCCCCTGTGAATGTCATTTTTTTAAATGCATGCTTTTTTTTATAAAAAGATTTAATTCATACTTTTAAAGATGTGACTAGCATGGCAATAATACTTCAATCAATTTAGTTTTTTTCTACTTCAACGGTTAACAGAAATGAACTCCGTCCCTTGAATGATTCTTGTTAATAGAATTAGAAGGATCCGATAATTGCCAAAAGTTAGGCTGCTAAGCAACCCTTCTTACAAACAAGTAACTAGATTCAGTCTTACAACAGTCATGTTCAATTGAAAACAACTTAGTGATAAATTTGCTTTGCACTTGAAATAAACATACCCTTTTGTTTATTCTGCAGGTCTTTCAATTTGGAGCAAAGCTCCTCAACCAAGGTTTCAATCCCAGAACTCTGTAAGAGAAAGAGAAAATGCACTGTAAGTGTTACAATAGTATAATAATCGACTGCGAACTGTATGCTACAATAGTATAATAATCCACTCAGGCAGGGCGGTCCAACCTTTTGACTGCTGAGGGTCGGGTGCCGGATTTGAGAAACATCCGCGGGCCACATGAGCAATATTTTATCCTGATTGGCCAGTCCTTGCCAGGCAGAGCCCGAGCCTCTGGTGACCGTCTCCTGATTGCCTCGGGGCCCGTCACTTGTATTTGCCTTCAAGGGACGACTCAAGACCCTCCTTTTTGACCGTGACTTCAGCTGCCCGCCTACCCCATCTGCCCTCCCTCATTCCAACCTTGCCCCCCACACTCGGGTCCGGATCCCTGACTGTTCAGCTACTTGGGATGTACACCCAATGTGAAAGGAGCTTTACAAATGTAATTTTGTTGTTGTTGTTCAGACAATGAAGTTGGAAATGGTTTGGAGGCAGGATAACATCATCCCCTGGGCCAAACCCGGCCCACCAGTTTGACCACCCTTTTATTCACCTGATCTACTGCAGACTGAATTTTTTAATGAACAGCCACACACAACTCATTTTTTATAGCAAGCACTGAGGTAGCCACTTTGCAACTGGCAGTATTTATTTGATATAAAAGATATACTACTTAATTGTAGCTCAATGAAAACTTTCCATATGCCGTAAAGTTTAAGGCAATAGAGCTGAGTGTTTTTTTTCACAAAACATTCTCACTAGATGCTATCGTTCACAAAATACACAGTATATCCTGTGAAGCGCTCTGACATATCTTGATGACATAAGGTGCTATATCAAATGCAAGGATTATTATTATTATTATTATTCTCATCAAGTCAAGAGCTCATTTTCAATTCAACACTTCTCTGATAGTACCACAGCACCACAGAACTTTTATTTGAAGAATGATGACATTATTTTCTGCAGATTTTGTGTTGAATGAAGTTAGGAATTTCAACATTCACAACAACAAAGTTACATTTGCATAGTGCTTTTCACATCGGGAGGATGTCCCAAGGCACTGGACAGTCACGGATTTGCAACTGAGCTGGGAGTTGGGATCAAGAGGAGTGGAGTGCAGGGACGATGGGAGTAGGAGGGTAACCAAAGACGGAGTCAAACAGGAAGGTCTTGAAACGGACCTTGAAGGAGACAAGGGAGGGGGTGAGGTGAAGGGACTGTGGGATTGAGCTCCACAATTTGAAAAAAACAGCATCATACTGTTAGCCTGATTCAGTTGGTAGAACTCTTGCCTCTTGAGGTTTTTTTTCTGGTCAGCTACGTGTCTGACACATGCGGAAACCCATCATGATGCTTGAGTATTCAAATCACACTGAAGAGCTTCAAGCATTCCACCTACACGTGGAAATCCCAGAGACATTTATTAGAATGGAATACATACTCTCTCCTTGGAGGGTTGCATTCTGCTTACCTAATTCCAGGGAGTATTAGGGTGCAGGTTGGCAAGAACCAAGGCTTGAGGACCCCCAGAATGTGCACTGGGGTACTGCTGTGAGTCTGTTCAGCTAAAAACACATAGCTCTTCTCTTTGATTGTGCTTTTGGTCGCCCTCCCACCTCTCTGCCCTCCCTCACGCCTACACCACCCCTCCCCCATGCTCGGGCCCCGACACCTAACTGTTCAGCGCTTTGGGACGTCCTCCTGACATGAAAAACGCTCTATAAATGTAATTTTGTTGTTGTTGTTGTTGAAAGCACTGTCTGGCAAGCTATCATGCTGGTTATCCAGCTAGAACCACCCTCCATTAGGGCTTTGGCTGCTAAGGTTGACTAGTCTGTCCTTCCAAGTACTGCTGATGAGACAAGTTTGCTGCGTCGTCCTCAGCAGTGCCCTGGAGTCCTGTAGACAAACCGTGTTCAGGAACTCAACTACCAAAGTTAGAAGGTTCTGGGTTCAAACCCCAAGTCCAGATTTTGAACTCACAGTCTAGACACACTGCTACATTCTCAGAAATGCCATCCTTCCCATGACATGTTAAACTGAGGTCTTGTCCATCTGTTCAGGTGGACAAGAAAGATCCCATTGCATGAATCAAAAAAAGAAAAAGGAATTTCTCTCTTTGTCCTGGCCGACAATCCTCTAGATAAAATTAGTCCACTTCAGGGCTGTTTTGTGTGTCATTGCTGTGCCAAATTGGCTACTGTGATCAGTGTTTCTTTGCAGTACGTCTTGCAAAGCACTTTGAGAAGTCTTCCTTAGGTAAAAGGCACTAGATATCAAATACAAGGATTATTATTACCTAAAAGGGACAAAAACATCTAGGGTATAACAGCTATTACTAAGAAAAATGCATATTTATGTATGATTTGCTTATAAAGATCTGGTCTCTAGAGGATAGAATGTCCAAATAAAGACCTTCCAAGTCAATAAATTATGAAAATTGTAATTTCTTTTACCTTAATATGTGATATGAGCTTCTACGACTTGAAGCTCTATACTACTCCCAAGATTTTAAAAACAGAAACAGAATTCTAGTAGACTGTGGCCACATTATAGAACATCTCCAAATGGCCCTAAACCCAAATAAATCATCACAATTGTATCCTCTAAGAGGAAACGTATTCTTATAACTGAATTCAGGTTCCACTGATGTCGCCTGTTGCTTTGTTTGAGATTGCGATATCCATGGACCAATACCACCAAGCACTGTGTTCGGCAAAAGAGTATTGATAATGTGGAATACAGGTTTGCCACTTACTCAGATAATAAAGTTCAACTGCACCAAGTTGGTTAAGTAAGGATCCCATACTCTTATGCCTGAGCTCCCTTTAAGTGGGTTACCCATGCTGTAAGTGAGGCATGGGACACTATGGCGAGTGTTGATGATGAAAGGAACTGCACCTGGAACTCTGAACAAACTAACTTCATTCAAACTCTAGACTTTTTGGACAAATTCTCAATTTACAAAATATTCAAAAAATAATGAATTAATTCATATACTTTTCGTCCATCATGCTCTCTCTGGCAGATTGTCTATGTAAATTGACATATATTGTAGGCAACCAAAAAACTGAGCAAGATCCAAAAAGCAATGACTTGAATAATATAATTAATTTACTATTTACAAAGCAGCCTCTCAGATATTTTCTTTCCTGGAACCCACCCCCAACTTGGTATAGCTTAGAATAGGAATTGATTGAAACAAGGACTGAACTTATGATCATGTCACTCTGAACCGCGGCAATTCATCCCTAATCTCCTCATTGTTTTAGTAGATTTCTAATACAATTTAAAACAAAAGTAGACACCCGTCTCCTGATGATTCAGTGGGTATCCGTACCATGTTTGTGGTACTCTGTCATGCAGACCAGAAAGGTCTGAGGCCGAGCTATGCTTCTACTGATCCCAATCCTAACATGATGCTAGTGGGGCAATAGAATTGAAATCAGTCCTGTATCTCAGTGCACTCATTTATCGCAGAGCACTCATTTTGCAAGCGAGAGATCTGGGTTTGATTCCCAGAGGGACAAATATTGGGCAAGTTTCCTTATTCCACATCCTCTGTTTACCTAGCAGTGAGTAGAAACTTGTTTTTTTAGTCGATTGCGTTTCTGGGGATAATAATTCCTTCAAAAAATATAACAATTGTTCACTTTTGTCCACGACGTTTTGAGCAGAGGGAGCAGGCAGGTTGGTAGGGAGTTAGGGGATCGCAGAGGTAGGGGGGAGCAAGGCCATGGAGGGCTTTGAAGTGAGGACCAGGATCTTGAACTGTATCCTCTGTGTAATGGGAAGCCGGTGGAGTTGGGCGAGGTTGGTGGTGATAGGCTTGTGGAATCTGGTGCAGGAGAGGATACGGGCTGCAGAGTTCTGGATGATCTGCAGCCTATGGAGGGAGGAGTTGGAAAGGCGGACAAGCAGGGAGTTTGCATACTTGAGCCTGGATGTTATGAATGTGTGTATGAGGGTCTCGGAGGCTGTGGTGTGAGACAATGGTGGGGAGGTGGTGTACTGCTGGCGGTTCGTGAGGTAGGACTAGAACCAGGTGAGTGCGGTCCCACTGAGGTGGATGACGGAGGAAAGGCGGTGGAGGAGGATGGCGTGATCGACTGTCTCGAAAGCGGCAGAGAGGTCCAGGAGGAGAAGGAGGCAGAGGGAGCCCTGGTCACAGATAGTGATGTTGCGGAGGTGGGGGAAAGCAGAGCGGGTCATGGCACGGATGTAGAGTATGAAAGACAGTTGAGGGTCAAACAGGACGCCTAGGTTCCGTATTGGCTACATGAGATGTAGAGTGCATCCATAGTTGGAATAGCTGTCAGCGCCCAAGGTAAATGATGTCATCAACCAGTCCCTCTCCTCCAGATCAGTCCCTGCCCCCTTCAAAACTGCTGTCATCACCCTCCTCCTCAAAAAACCTTCCCTAGATCCCTCAAACCCCAGCCACTACCACCCTGTTTCAAACTTACCCTTCCTCGGCAAAGTCCTAGAACGCGTTGTTGCCAATCAATTCTGCAAATACCTCTCCTCCCACTCCCTCTTCAAATCCCTCTAATCCGGTTTCCGCTCTGCCCACAGTACAGAGACTGCGCTTGTGAAAGTCTCAAACGACATCCTCTCTATCGATGAACAGGGCTCCCTCTTCCTCCTTGTCCTCCTGGACTTCTCCGCCGCTTTCGAGACAGTTGATCATGCCATCCTCCTCCATCGCCTTTCCTCCGCCATCCACCTCAGTGGGTCCGCACTTGCCTGGTTCGAGTCCTACCTCACAAACCGCCAGCAGTACATCTGCACAAACGGCTTCTCCTCCCGCTCTCACCCGGTTACCTGCGGGTACCCCAAGGATCCATCCTTGGCCCCCTCCTCTTCCTGATCTACATGCTCCCTCTTGGGGATGCATCCACAGACACGGGGTACACCCAACTCTATTTTTCCACCTCACATTGCGACCCCCAGTCCCCTGATATTCTATCAGCCTGCCTATCTGATCTCAGGAGCTGGATGAGCGTGAATTTCC